TTCTGGTAATCAAATGAACATGCAGAACATTCGTATTTAAATAATCTTTTTGCAGTTTAATATTCACAGGCACAGTATATGTGTATATATATGTATTGATCTGATTTTTATTTATTCATCAAAAATACGACAAATTCCATTAAATTCCGCATTATATAGTAAATTCCATTTTTATGACTGGATTCCGCATTTCCGTCCATGTTTTCTGCATTGTGGAAATCACAGGGCCCTACTAATGTAGCAAACGAATATGATAAGCTCATTGTGAGAGTAAAAGACGAGGACATTGTTTATTTACTTCGCATTGAGTCTCTCCAACTAGGTGACAATGTAGTGTTAAATCACCATTCAACAGACTCAAACCACCACTATTGTCTATTGGACAGCAGAAAGATACTAACTTTTCAATCTACTGCGTTACTGACTGTACTGACAAACTACGCTGACACCGTGTCTGCGCCGCAACAGAACGCGACAAAGCGACCGTTAAAATAATTTGAACTTCTGTCAGCACGTCATAAATTGGATGCAGTACACTGATACCTCGTTCTGTGTAGACAACATCACTGATTATAATGGGTTCTATTCTACACCGGACGCGAGCGGCGTAATGTAACCGATGTGATAAGCATGAGTTCTGGGTATAAACACCAGTCCAGCCGCGATCAGCTCCGGTGGCCGTAACACAGGCTTTAATGCGTTGCAGACGCGTGCCGTGATGCGCAGATCAGCTCTAGTCTCTAATGTCACTGAATCTGCTGTTAAACATGAACCACCCATTCATCATATCATGCAAAACTAAGAATTAGAATTTTTCTGTCAATATGGGGTGCTGTGTGTACATTAATGAGGAAAAAAAAATAACTTAAATGATTTTAGCAAATGGCTGCAATATAACAAAGAGTGAAAAATTTAAGGGGGTCTGAATACTTTCCGTACCCACTGTACATAGGTGATGTATTTAGCAGGAGCATTCAAGAAATTGAATGAACAAATATAAAAATAAAACAGATTGATTCCTATTGAAGCAACTATTTTAAAGTTTTTAAGTCAAGAGTAGTGAGTGATTTTTCTGTGTTTTGTTGTTTTATTAACATTTAAAGGGATAGTTCACCCAAAAATGTAAATTCTGTCATCTGTCTGTCAATTCTGTCGTAGTGTTTTATTTTAACCGGTTTCTTTCTTCGGCTGAACATAAATGCTGTTTTGAATAACGTTGAAAACCAAACAGTTGCTGGTCCCCAGTGACTTCCATAGTATTTTTTCCTACTATCATAGTCAATATGTCTGGTTACCCACATTCTTCAAAATAAATTATTTTGTGTTCAGCACAAGAAATATATTAACGCAGGTTTGGCACAGCATGTAAGCGAGTAAATAATAAACTAAATTTAATTTTAGGGTGAACTATCCCTTTAATGACAGTCGGCAGCATGTTTAGCACTGTACCTTTAAATGAAGATGCTCTCATTAATTACTCACCCTCATGTCATTCCCAACCCGTGAGACCTTCGTTCATCATCGGAACACAAATTAAGATATTTGATTAAATCTGACAGCTCTCAGACCCTCCCATAGACAGCAACACAACTGTAATGTTCCCAGGTCCATAAATGTACTAAGCGTATATGTTCGGTAAAACAGCCTATATAGCAAAGTGGGCCTATGAACTCCTTGCGAGTGACTTCTGTTGATGAAACCGCAAACTATTTACTATTTTTCTTCGGTTAATTGCATCTCTGACTCCTGGTCTTAGTTCAACATATGTGGTCCTTGGGTCTTAACTGTACATCCCCTACACTTCAATAAATCATTAACTCTATTTTTCTCATTTTTAAGCCTGAATGGCAGATTCAGGATTGGTCTATAATAACCCAGTTTTGATGCATAATGTTAGTTTTGATGTTTTAATAGTTTTATCTTGATTTGAGCCATTAAACTCCCATTAACTATTTGTCATTTTTTCACTTTAGATCTGATGGCAATAAAAGAAGAGAGTCAAGAACTGAAAGAAACAGAAGAGAAAGATCAAAATGAGAGACATGATTTCTTTGTTGTAGAAAAATCCATACCGACTGAAACCAATTCAGTTCAGAAGACCAAACCTCCCAGTTACTTAACTTGCCATGAATGTGGAAAGTGTTTCACATTAAAAGTAAACCTTAATGAACACATGAAAATTCACACTAGAGAGAAGCCGTTCACATGCCAGCACTGTGGAAAGAGTTTCACACTAAAAGGAAGCCTTAATGAACATGTAATCATTCACACTGGAGAGAAGCCGTTCATATGTGATCACTGTGGAAAGTGTTTCACTAAAAAAGGAAATCTTAATAAACATATAACCATTCACACTGGAGGGAAACCGTTCACATGTGATCAGTGTGGAAAGAGTTTCAGATATAAAGAAATTCTTAGTTCCCACATGAGAGTTCACACCGGAGAGAAGCCGTTCACTTGTGATCAGTGTGGAAAGCGTTTCGCTAAAAAAGCAAACCTTAAACAACACATGAGAGTTCACACCGGAGAGAAGCCGTTCGCATGTCAACACTGCGGAGAGAGTTTCGATACAAAAGGAACATTTAATCAACACATAACCATTCATTCAGGGAAGCCATGCACATGTGATCAGTGTGAAAGGAGTTACAAATATGCAGAAAGCCTCAAGTCCCGCATGAGAGTTCACACTGGAGAGAAGAGTGAACATTCAAGCGAGAAGGGTTTTGTGTGTCATCAGTGTGGAGAGAGTTTCAGCTGTAAAGTAAGCCTCTACACTCATGTGAGACTTCATACTACAGAGAAGGCTTTCACCTGCAAACTGTGTGGGGATAGCTTTTTACAAAATGGAAATCTTAAGTCACACATGAGAATTCACACTAGAGAGAAGCATTAGTGTGTAAAGAGTTTCAGACGTAACCCTTGATTCACACATTGAAAGTACGTACAACTGTAAACTGTGTGGGATCATAGAAACCTGTGATTAATTCACTACTATAAAGTGACAACTGGAGATGTTTTTTTTTAAATGGCTCCAGAAAATAGGCGACTCTGTGAAATGAAGGAATCTAAAAAACTAGTATGTCTTGCAATGCATTTGATTCTAGCATTACATTTCCGCAACAATTTCCAAGCAATATTTACTCCACTTAAATTACTATCCAAAACACAGCCAATGTAATTGACCGACGTTCTAATTAACTAGTGTTCTATTTGCTCTGACATAACCATCAACTTAGACCGCTAAATCCTTTGCCTTACACAATTTATAATTTGACCCAAAAAGAATGGATTCTGATTTACAAGCTACGCAATATCACGTTCATAATCAAAGGCGATTAATCAGAACACGATATTGCGTAGCTTGTCAGTGAGCTACGGCTCTGTGTATTAAATACCGCTCCATCTGAAAGCATGTGATGGAGATTTACTACTAATCACAGAACCGGCTTTACTGACGAGATGTGCATGACAATCGCATTCGATGAATCGTGCAGCCCTACTAAATATAATAAAAGCTTATTTTCAGTCAGCCATTCCTTCACTCTAACAAGCTCCTCACCTAATTTCTCCCGAATTTGTTCAGTCTCCTTGTTTGCAACTAAAAGAGCAGCATCATCAGTATATAAAAACATATTTCCCTCACATGCAGCATGAATATCGTTTATATATAATAAAAACAATAGCGGACCAAGTACGCTACCCTGTTGAACCCCATTATTCACAATTTTACCTTTTGAAAGTATCCCTCCCACTTCTACCATTTGCACTCTCCTAAGTTAGATAGGAAGCCAACCAAGATTTTACTGTACATGGAAAAACCCAAAGCATTTACTTTGTCTAATCATTTTTAATGGTTTACAGTATCAAACGCTCTCCAGGCTGCAGCAAAGTCAGTTTGTGCAGAGGACTGTTTTATATCTATAGATTTTATTCTAGGCAAGTCGTGATGATTGAGAAGGCTAAATTGATCAAACAATAGGCTATGATCAACTCACTGTCTGCCGCTGGCTGCTTGGCCGCTACACTCTTAAGAAATGCGGGGTTGTTTCAACCCAACTTTGGGCCAAATATGAACTAACCCAACCTTTGGATTAAATTTTTACATTACATTTTTAACCCAAAAGTTGGGTTAGTTCAAATTTGACCCAACGTTGGGTTGAAATAACCCAGCATTTTTTAGAGTGCACTTTAAAAAACAAAAACTTACATTTAACGAACAAAAAAATGCTCCAAACGTTTTTCTAAATTAACTACTATTTTAATAGCAGAAACAGTAGTATAAGCTGTTTTGGGAGAGGGGGGGGGGACTGGGTCGGACTCGGGCCAAGAATTCTGATCAGCTGCCGGGCTAGGGGCCTATATTTGAGGCCGGTGTAGGGCTCTACAAACAATACCATAAGGAGATGCCAAAGACCTGCATATAAACTACTATACGGCTCCATTCAGAATCACTAAACATGCCAAAAAACGAATGAAAAATTAAACCATTCTGAACTCGGCTCGACGTCATCAGTGAATAGTTCCTCTGTCAGAGCAAGCTATAAACATAAATACCACTGATCCTCACAAACGTCTCCAAAACATGTGAGCATCCATTATAAAACACTCGCTGTATTCAACTACGTGAATATACCGAGCTGTGTTCAAGCAGAAATATGTGTATTATGTGTATGTAAATTAATTTTTACTTCAGATGTTGTCTGCAATGTTTATGGTCTTTTTTGGGCAGGATAAGCGATATATTTAAATCGTTAGGGTGGGTGTGTCTGCTGCGCACTGATGACACTGGCTATATTTTGTGCTGGATCATTTACCTATTTCTTTATGTACATAATTATTAAACATGAACGTATTAGTATCAGAAATGGATTTGAATATACAACGAATAATACGATACAAGCCTCTGTTACTATATTGCTCTATGTTGTACTGAAGTGAAAAGCTTGCCATGCATCATCTTGGAAATAAAGCTTCATGTCTTTAAGCCCATAGTGTATGCAGTCAGTTATTCCTCTGGAGAAGTTATGATGTGTATATTTTTAATGTCCTGATTGAGCAACATCGATTTCAGAGTCTGATCACACAAATATGGCGTTTTACTAGCATTACCATGTAAAATGTTATGTATATGTGTTAAATGAATAACTATTTTAACCACCGATTACATCATTACCTGCTTCCAAATGAATGCTGTTAACGAAATCATTATTGAAACATTTGCAGTTAGCCTATTGTACGGATAAAACACTATAACAAAATTGCATAAACAATGAATAACTGTACAAGGCGAAAGAAGGTATTGCTACTGCAATGTATATGAACGTAACTTTTTAATAAGCAGGGGAAATTCCCGACATTAAACGAATAACCGTTTACATGCCTAGGGTGTTTGCATTGTAAGAATGGTCAGGGAAACGTCAGATTTAAAAACGCTGACTTGTTTGGTGATGTTTTCTCATTAAATTCATACGACTTCCTATTAATTCAATGGAATGTGTGGGAATAGCGGGGAATACCGAGCAGTTCTCTATTATAGATCAGCGGAGGTGGTGCTGTTATATATATTTACATTATTTAACATATTAGTCTTAACATCAGTGAATATATTTTAGTTTCAAGTTATCTCTCGATCAGATATCAATTGTTTATTAAATCAGATATTTGATCATCCTGGAAATCTCATACTTTCCCACCCCTGCTTTTGTGTGTTTTCAAATATAGTTTGTTTTAAAGGAGCCAAACCCAGTTCACTTAAAGTGAACCAGACAGGAAACCAGCCAAAAGTTACCTCAGTCCTTTTGGTGGACTCAGAAGAGAACGCGGTTCTTTTCTTGGCCCTCTTCAGCACTGAAGTGATCTCGGACCATTTCTCGTTCACACCACATCTTCATAAGAACCCAGACTCCAGCTTTCTGTGCAAGCCATACACGAATTGAAAGGGGGAATAATAAAATATTATATTTATATGAAATAAATATAAAAATATAGCCCTAAAAAGTTAATATATACAGAACAAAATTATAAACGCAACACTTTTGTTTTTGCCTCCATTTTTCATGAGCTGAACTCAAAGATCTAAGACTTTTTCTATGTACACAAAAGGCCTATTTCTCTCAAATATTGTTCACAAATCTGTCTAAATCTGTGTTAGTGAGCACTTCTCCTTTGCCGAGATAATCCATCCACCTCACAGGTGTGGCATATCAAGATGCTGATTAGACAGCAGGATTATTGCACAGGTGTGCCTTAGGCTGGCCACAATAAAAGGCCACTCTAAAATGTCGTTTCATCATGCAGTTCTGCTTTTGTCCAAATCAACCTATAAATCAACAAGTGTCCATGTGTCAGCCAGCAGAGTAGTCAGTGTCCTGCTCAAGGAACACTATTATTCCCAGCTGATTCTAGATTCTGTGAACACACAGTCAAGGAAAACATTGACAAGCCTCTTACAGAGTCGCTGCTTCCTGAACAAATATGTCCAGAACTCTCAGTTTGACTCCTCGGCCACGTATTTGCCATTTGTTTTTTGTTGTAGAATGAAGTAAGTCCCTTACAGATGAAACTTGACAAACTCTTCATCCTCATCAGATGATTTGATCTTGCTGTACTCAGTATACAAACCTAAACCATCTACAGACATGTCACAGAGTTAGCTAAGCAAATAGGGAGCATCCTAACGCCACAGAGAAAACAGAGTAGCTCTAATGCGTGAATGGCATGGAACACTGTGTCTTCATGAGTTTCACACAATATCTGATTGATACAAGACACGGTGGAACACATTTCATTGTGCTCACGAAGTACTGTAATTAAAAGTTCGATATGAAATAGATTGAGTATTTAATACAAGTAATTATATTTTATAATAAAACTGTAAAATTATGGTATTAACATTCATTCATTTTCAGACAAAATTTTGGAGGAAAACTAAGAAGTCCCTTGAAGCTTCTTTTTTGGCAACAGGTTTATAGACAGTTTTCATGATGCAGTTTCTATCACAGCAGTCTACAATCCTACACGCAGATTCAAACAGTGTTCTGATGAGGGGGGTTAAAAACTGGACAGAAAATAGCCTACTACTTCTCAACTATGCTGTTTTTATGTAAAAAACTAGGTTTTGTTTTACTAAATTTGTACTCTGTCCCTCTAAAAAAAACTGTGTTTCTAGCTTCGTAATCTGTACACAGATTTGTGATAGCCTCAGTCCCCTTTAAAACTGCATTTATCCATTGTCTTAAAATTGAGCTCATTTAAACTAAGATGCAACCCTGCAGCACAAAAGCAGTGTTAAGTCGCTGGGGGATATTTGTAGCAATAGCCAACAATACATTGTACGGGTCACAATTATACATTTCTCTTTTATGCCAAAAATCATTAGGATATTAAGTAAAGATCATGTTCCATGAAGATATTTAGTAAATCTACCGTAAATATATCAAAACTTAATGTTTGATTAGTAATATGCATTGCTAAGAACTTCATCTGAACAACTTTAAAGATGATTTTCTCAATATTTAGATTTTTTTGCACCCTCAGATTCCAGATTTTCAAATAGTTGTATCTCGACCAAATATTGTCCGATCCTAGCAGTTATGACTGTAACATTACCCTTATGACTGGTTTTGTGGTCCAGGGTCACACATTTGAGTTGTTACAGAGATTACAAAGCTACGCTGATTTGACTAAAGATTTGAGAAAGGTTGTGCTAAAACTTGCATACGTTTACCCATTACTAGTTGTTTTTATTTGTTGTACTATTTTAATATATTTGTAATATCTTCCCTGTTATGATGCCTTTCAGAAACTGACGAAACCATTGTGTGTAATGTGGGAGGTTATTTATTTGATGATTATAGACTGCTCAGAACATTAATGGAAAACTTGACCATCACGCCAAGTCACTTAAACCTTAGGGAAATCAATCTGTCCAGCTGAAAATCTCCAGCGATTGTGAGTCAGTTTCACCAAAGTGACGACTGGAGAGGCAACAGCAAGACTACCCTCAAAAAGGAGCATGGTTTTGCAGGTGGTGGCCACAGACAATCGCTCTCTCCTTGTCTGTTTGGACTGATTTGTCTGTAGTGTTGTGCATGAGACATTTCAGGTTGTTCAGGTCGTCATTGATGTTTTTGCCATCAGACCATCATATGACTGCTGAACTCAAGTCCTGATTGATTTATTCTCTCAGATGATGCTGTCTTCAGACGACTTGGGGTCAACGTTCATATGATGGTCTGATGATAACATCATGTAGAAGAATAAATCAACTATGACCCTAAGCTCCATCAACAAAAAGCAAACAAAAAGCATGATAAATCACACTCTAGCAGTTGTATTTTTTATGTGTGCTGAAGAAAACTGGAAGCGGCGAAAGAGCAAGGGATAAGAGCTTGAGTTAAGCAGTTTCATGTTTTAGCGCCATGTTGCGTTTTTATTGGCTGGTCAGTAAACGTGGATCGTAGCGGCAAACACACTGTGCGATGATCTTGCTGTATCGTAGTCTATTAACTCAAATACAGTATTGGACAAAGAAACTGACAGAACTCTGGGTTTCAATAGACAGATGATTAACTGAATCTGAACAGGTGAGAACTAATGAGTAAACATGGAAAGGAACGAGGGAGTAATCAGAATCTATGGAAACTGAAGATGACTAAGAACACAGACAAAACGGGAACAAGGAAAACCAAACTGCAGAGAAACGAAACCGATAGAGACTGTGACAGGAGATGTCTAGTAGAAGAAGGCTGCAACCAGGGGCGTAGCCATCTTACTGTACATTTCATCACATTGTTCAAATGTGAAGTAAATTGTATAAATGTGTAGAAAAATAACGTACACACCAGGGGCGTAACCATCATTTCAGGAGTGAGGGGGACAGAAATGTTATATATATATATATATAAACATTTCTGTAATCCATATAACCTAACAGTCAACAGTTTTTGAACAGTAAGATTGCTGCTCAAGAAACATTTTAAAATTATTATTATTATCAATTCAATTTCATATCAATTCAATTTAAAACAGTTGAGTAAATTTTTTCTGGATTCTTTGATGAATAGAAAGATCAAAAGATCAGAATTTATCTGAATTAAAAAGCTTTTGTAACATTATACACTATACCATTCAAAAGCTTGGAGTCAGTATCATTTTTATTTTATGGAAAAGAAATGATAGAAATGAACACTTTTATTTAGCAGGGATGCTTTAAATTGATCAAAAATGAAGATAAAGACATTTATAATGTTACAAAAGATTTCTATTTCAGATAAATGCTGTTCTTCTGAACTTTCTGTTCATCAAAGAAACCTAAACAAATTCTACTCTGCTGTTTTCAACATAATAATAATAATAATAAATGTTTTTTGAGCAGCAAATCAGAATATCAGAATGATTTCTGAAGGATCGTGTGACTGGAGTAATGATGCTAAAAATTCAGCTTTGAAATCACAATAAATTACATTTTAAAATATATTCAAATAGAAAATAGTTATTTTATATAGCCTAGTAAAAATATTTCCAATTTTTTAATCAAATAAATGCAGGTTTGGTGAACAGAAGAGACTTTTTAAAAAAACATTAAAAATCTTACTGTTCAAAAACGTTTGACTGGCAGTGTATAGTCAACTTAAATTTTTCTCTCATTTCTAGCTTTTAATCGACTTAGAAATCAGATAACTGCTGGACAATAACCAATAATAATGATTTGCTTATATACTACAAACACTTTTTTATCACGTAATAAGGCAGTATAGTTTGTATACTGTAATAAATGCTATGTCAGCTAGCACTGCATTGTTCATATACTTTATTTATTACCTGGAGATGACTTAACAAACACAAATAAACCATATATTGTGTATTGTTGCAATCGTATGTTTAATGTCTTCATGTTTCCAAACGTTTCTGTTTCCTGTGAAAACAACTGTTTTCATACAGCGAGAGCTGGACGCTTTTGTCCATATTAGGGATTTCCTGGTACGACTTTCTGCGGAGAGTGCCTCCGGCTTCGAGTATGAATGAAACACACACTGCATGAGTGTTTAGCGCTCCGCGACATTCATCTCGCCTTATTCTGGGTCCGAATAAAACATCAGATCATGCACAGACTATCCTGTCTCTATGAATTTAAATCTATATTTATTCACACCGGCTCTTGAAAACCTCTATGTGAACACACTTGCCCGAAAAAAGTGGGGGGACACGTCTCCCGCGTAATCTAAGCCCCTGGCTGCAACGACAAAAGACCTTTTGTACATCCCACCACAAGAGCTCACATGCAACATGGCAGACATTTAAAACAGACGTGTTTATGTGAAATGTGTGTTTTTGACAAGCTTATTGTGCTTAAATACACAGAAAGCTAAGCACAATAAGACATAAAGTGAACATAGTTTAGTACCGACAGTCTGACAGACAGCTTTCTGTGCACTGAGAAAACCCTATATCAGAAGTTACACAGCTTTAAAACGTGTGCAAATAATAAACTTCCAGGATGTCCTGCAATGTCACGTGACCGTGACATTTTGTTTTGGCAGAAAATGTGAGTATCTGGAAAAGGGGGCGGGGAGCAGCAGCTCATTAGCATTTAAAGAGACATGCACGAAAACAGCCCGTTTCTGCTTCCACTCAAACTAGGCATTTTTTAAATTATGTAATAAATGATCTGTGGGGTATTTTGAGCTGAAACTTCACAGACACATTCTAGGGACACTTGAGAGTTTTATTACATCTTTTAAAAATGGGCATTATAGGTCACATTTAATATTGCAGTTATAATAGGTTATTCACATCCTGAAAATCCAAACTGTTAACCATTTCAGATCTGTGGCCAACAAACAAAATGCGGGTTTTTTGAGTCATTGTTTGAGTCACGATCTCCCTTGATGTCATTAACTTTATTTGTGTAGTTCAGTGGAGTATGCAGACGTCAGATTCAGTGAAAAGATGAACAATGAAAATGAGAATCTTAATGTGTAATTGACTCATTATCCATCTCAATTCACCCTTCCCCGGGAGTTTGATTGACAGGGGATCTGACTAATGCAGAATGAGCCATTTTGTCTGCCAAACGAACCAGAAAGGAGAGTAGATTAACTTCAGTGGACTTGAACTTGAAAATGGTGTGTATTGTCTCTCTGTGGTTGAAATGAGATACAAAATACCTTCTGATGTTCATTCATGTTTATTTTGTGCTATAACTAGTAATAAAGGAACATGTGCTGCTTGATCTGAGACGCTACAGCGATACGTCACAACACATTAAAGAGCCACAAACCGGTAACTAAGGGGGCAGGTCTTAGCGAAGGGTCAATTACATATCTGAATAATGATAGCACTCAGTTTAATTGTAGTTTAACTGTATATGGAAACAATACTGTTATATGTAGAGGTACAAACTCATTTTACAGTAAGTAAATTGCATTGTACAATTACATGCCTCTTAATGCATTTCACATGATGCAACATCTACCCGAAGGGCGCGCACTCATCTGCTGCTGTAAAGCCTTCATCTGTTCACGGTGCTGCTGCATCATCATAGCCATAGACTCCTCCTGTCTCTTGCTGGAGTTCTCCAACAGCTCTGCAAACTCTCGAGCTCTATTACTCTCGGCTTCAGCGTTCTGTCTCTTGAACACTTCCATCTCCTGGCTCATCCTCTCAGCCTTCTCCTGAAAGCCCTTCTTCAGCAGAACGGCCTGCTCCCTCAGTTTGCTGTCCATGGCACGATTGGCCTCCTCTCTCTGAAGCCTCATCTCCTCATCCATCTTCTCCTTCATCTGTCTCATCCTATCTTCATTAATCTGTCTTTCTGCTTAAATAAGATGGAATCAGGGAGAATGTCCAGATCTCATTCACTACTCTGAAAGAACATCTCTCTATCAGTAAGCTCAAAGCACCTCCTCAGCAAGATATCCAGCCTACCTCTAGAGATTTCAGGTGCTTCCCGTCAGTGTCCCTGAAAGATCGAGTCATGAAGGTTTGTGTTGCCATGCTGCTGAGACGTTGGTGTTCCGAGGAGACAACCTTTAATTCCAGAGGGAAGGAGTTCTTCAGCTTCTCCATTCCACTCTGGTACACCTCAAGCCCTTCCTTCACCGCAGCTTGATTCTCAATCATTGCCATGGCGATCACAGCATTCTCCAGACACGGCACAGCCCCACTAGAGATGGTGTCTACGTACGTTTTTGCTAGATGACCCAAAACTTTTTAAAAAGTAGGAAAGAAGTCAAACAAAATGATTGAGCAATAGAAATTCCACTGAAAGCACATATGCAAGCTCTTCAAATGTCCTTCTGAATCACCTCTGCCAGTGACTGTGTATCCATCCTTCAGCTTCTTCACATCACTCTTGTCAAAGACAAACTTGCAGAAACGTCCTGTAACCTCCAGGAACTCAGTGGAAAGGTCAGCAGGATCCAATCTCTCCAGACGAGACACGTTCTCCGGGGCGGTTGGAAACGGGAACGTGAAGCACGTCCTGGAGGGGAAGAATTTTTGGATGCACTCCCTGGGAAGGTTGTACTCCATCACTTTTTTTGATGTTCCTAGAAGAGATTAACACAAGCTGTAGCTTTTCTCAGTTCTAGAGTTTTGTAAAGTAAAAAAAAGTGTGTCTGTCCTTTGAGCAGAGTGTAGCTGATCCAGCTACTCTTCTGGGCCACATTGTCACTGGACATTTTTTTTCTCCACTTTGAACCCTTTCCATCCACAGTGTATTATAAATGTATGCTATTATCTAGGTATCCAGTCCTGCACCTGGAGGGCCAGTGTTCTGCAGAGATTAGCTCCAACCCCAATTAAACACATCTGCACCATCTAATCAAGGTCTTACTAGGCACACTAGAATCTTCCAGACAGGTGTGTTGAGGCAAGTTGGAGCTAAACTCTGCAAGACAGTGGGCCTCCAGGAGTTTTGGCACCCCTGATCTAGAGCCGTGGTACCACCGCTCTGCATATTTTGCATGTCTCTCTTATTGAACACACCTAATTCAGATAACCAGCTCATTGTAAGATAGCTTAATAAATGAACTGTGTTCTGATTGACATGGTCCCTACACAGTGTTGATTGCTCCCTACTCCCTGAGCATGGGAAATCCACTGAAGTTTACTAAACTTCAGAACAATCATTCACGGATTTGCGCTACGCCGCAGTCTGCAGTGTCCTCACACAGACAAAACTTACTAGAGAAGTGACATAATATACACCTGTATATACATCTCACAAACTTTAACGCCCTTTAAATGGAATATATGCGCTCCCTTCCAACGGGAATCTTGGCAAAATATCCTGGGATATCCACTTTACAAAGCACTTATGGTCGAATAGAACAAATATCTGAAGTGTAAGAGATACATACAAAATGTGCAGAGCAGGGGGTCGCAAGGACTGGAATTGAGAACGACTGATCTAGAGTTGGAACAGGGAGAACACAATCTGCTGTGGATGAACAACACTGGTTCAGGGAGTAGATATGTTGACTGGGAGAGAGAGGATTCCCAGCTTAAATCCCAGTTTCACCTAACCAATCGATGAAGTGTCCTTGGGCAAGACACCGAACATCACATACTCCTGATCTAATCCAGATAAAAATTATCCAGTTAAATGTATTTCTGACAAAAAACATAGATGGCTAACAATGTTCTGTTTCTAAACAATGATGAGACTGAAGTTATGCTTCTCAGCTTACCTCACCAGCTCCATAAAACTGGCTCAGTACCTCTAACTATTGATGGCTCTGTACTAGAGTTTCAAATAAAACTGAATCTTGGGGTGATCTTGGGTTCTTTTTTGACATTTCACCCCCATGTGAAACAGTTAAGACTTAACGTATTTAACTTTAGACATATTGCAAAGTTGCATCCTATGCTATCATTTTCAGTAGCAGAAAAACTGATTTGAAACTGATATTTGTCTTTTTTTAGATAAGTCAATTTAAACAAAATGCAGTACACCCAAAACTTGGATCTTAAATAGAACCAGAATAAGTGATGTAAGTGTAAGAAAGATCTGTTGATAAACCATTAAGTTTGGAAAAACTCATTACAAGAGCTCATTGTGATAGTGATTGTGAGGGCTCTTAAAATAATATTTGGTACCATACTTAAATTACCATGTTTCAGCTTCAGAGCAAACTCTAGATAATCATTCTCTGTTGCATCTTTGCCATCAATCTTTCGCTCCAGAGTGAAGTCCCTCACTGCCCAGATGAAACTAGGGAAGAACTTCACAAACTCATTTGAATCATCAACATCCTCGTCTGATGATTTGACCTTGATGCACTCTGTTAGTTCAGTAACATATCTGACAGTTTGTTTAGGTATGAACACAAAGTGACTGTCCAACATGATTCCATTAGTATTTGTATGTATTTTACAATAAGTGTGGTTCTACCATGTACATTTACATAGACAATAAAATGTATAATATTGATTTAACAGCATCTAAAGCATCATTTATGAATAAATAACTTTACAGATGTACACATTTACAAATATTTATGAATGGAAGTGCCTTATGGAATGTATTGGTTGATTCTGTCGTATTTATGATCAGTGAGATTATGTTTTCAATTGTATTTAACGCAGTTGAGTCATTTATTAATTATAACATTTTATTCTGTTCTTTGTGACTTCTGGTGCCAATTTTACATAATTATGTATTATGAAAGTATTACATAATTTTAAACAAGACCACCTTGAAATCCTACAATGAATAGAATTTCTGCAATTATTTAAACATTTAATTGTTTTATTTATATAAAACTGTTGTATATTTGTATTGTTTTATTTGTTTCATTGTTTTTGCACAAAAATTGAATTTAACGTCGCTTGGGTAGTTTTCAAAATTTGACAACAGGTTTGCTTTGCTGTAAATGATAAATAGGCAACTGACTTTACAATTCGCATGACCCATGAAATTATGACTGTGCCATTATGTCCTCGCTATTTACCTTGTGAGTTCACACAAGTGACCATGGTTGTGTCTCTGGTCCTGATAATGCTCTTGCAGCTGAACGCATTGCAGACAACTATAATAATGCTGTCTTTTAAACAGCTGCGATGTTAACACGCTTACATATCTGGTGCATATGTTAATATCAGACAATAATGCAATACTAAAACCAAGCTTGCCAAGCACTGTTATAAAGATGGAGGAGAGGTTCACCAGGGAAATGCAAGGGCAGCGTGGCAGAGGCTCAACGCGATGATGGAGAAAGCTCAGGTATCAGTTCAAGAACAGTGTCCACACTCAGTTAATGGTTTTAAATCTAGTAGCATCATTGTAAATACTGGGGTCCCACAAGGCTGTGTCTTGTCACCTATTTTGTTTTTCAAATACACAAATTGCGTATTACATAGGTCTATGCCCACAGGGCCTGGCTGGGCTCAGCCCGAAACTATGGCTCACCACCTGCCGGAGAGGCCGTAGGGGGCCGGTACGTTGTGATTTGGGCGGTGGTCGGGGCCGAGTGCCCGGTTGACCCAAACCTCGAGTGCCAACTCTGGTTTTTGGGACTTGGAATGTTACCTCACTGGAGGGGAAGGAGCCTGAGCTGGTACAGGAGGTTGAGAGATACCATCTAGATATAGTCGGGCTCACTTCCACTCACAGTTTGGGTTCTGGAACCATTCTTCTCGACTCTCCACTATTCTGGTGTTGCCAGAGCTGTTTGGAGCTGCGGCCGTAAAGTCTCTGGTGCCTGTCGTGGCAGCAATCCCCGAAAACAGTGGTGGGCACCGGAGGTAAGGGATGCTGTCAAGCTGAAGAAGGAGTTCTATCCGGTCTGGCTGACCCATGGGACTCCTGAAGTCGCTGGCGGGTACCGGCAGGCCCAGCAGAACGCGGCTCTGGCAGTCGCCGTGGTAAAAACTCGGCCTGGGAGGAGTTCGGTGAGGCCATGGAGGAAGAGGCTTCAAAGAGATTCTGGCAAACCGTCCGGCGGCTCAGAAGGGGGAAGCAGTGTTCTGTGGTGTGTAGTGCGTTCTGTGGTGGAAGTGGTGCGTTGCTGACTTCAACTGAGGATGTCATCGGGTGGTGAAAAGAGTACTTTGAGGATCTCCTCAATCCCTCCAACACTCCCTCCGTAAAGGAAGCTGAGGCTGGGGACTCGGGGGGCTCGTCCATCACTCTGGCTGAAGTTGCAGAGGTAGTCAAAAAAACTCTGTGGTGGCAAGGCTCCGGGGGTGGATGAGGTCCGCCCCGAGTTTCTCAAGTCTCTGGATGTTGTGGGGCTGTCTTGGCTGACACACCTCTGCGGCATTGCGTGGAGTTCGGGAACAGTGCCTTTGGACTGACAGACCGGGGTGGTGGTCCCTCTTTTTAAGAAAGGGGACCGGAGGGTGTGTTCCAACTAAAGGGGGATCACACTCCTCAGCCTCCCTGGAAAAGTCTATGCCAGGTTACTGGAGAGGAGAATCCGACCAGTAGTTGAACCTCGGATTCAGGAGGAGCAAAGCGGTTTTCGCCCTGGCCCTGGAGCACTGGACCAGCTCTATACCCTCACTAGGGTGTTGGAGGGTTCATGGGAGTTTGCCTATTTGGGAGTTTGCCCCTCGTGGCATCCTGTGGGAAGTACTTCGGGATTATGGGGTTCAGGGCTTGTTGTTACGGGCTGTTCGTTCCCTGTATGGCCAGAGCAGGAGCTTGGTTTGCATTGCCGGCAGTAAGTCAGACCTGTTTCCGATGCATGTCGGACTCCGCCAGGGCTGCCCTTTGTCACCGATTCTGTTCATTATTTTCATGGACAGAATTTCTAGGCGCAGCCAGGGAGCGGAGGGTGTCTATTTTGGTGGCTGCAAGATATCGTCTCTGCTTTTTGTGGATGATGTGGTCCTGTTGGCATCATCAAATCAAGACTTGCAGCGTGCACAGGAGATGTGCCAAGTGCGAAGTGGCGGGGATGAGAATCAGCACTTCCAAATCTGAAGCCATGGTTCTCAGTCGGAAAAAAGTGGATTGCCCCCTCCAGGTTGGGGGGAGGGGGGGAGCTGCTCCCTCAAGTGGAGGAGTTTAAGTATCTCGGGTCTTGGTCATGAGTGAGGGAAAAATGGAGCGGCAGGTTGACAGACGGATTGGTGCTGCGTCCGCAGTAATGTGGTCATTGTACCGGTCTATTTTGGTGAAGAAGGAGCTTAGTCTTAAGGCGAAGCTCTCAATTTACCAGTCGATCTACATTCCTACCCTCACCTATGGTCATAAACTCTGGATCATGCCCGAAAGAATGAGATCGCGGATACAAGCAGCAGAAATTAGTTTCCTCCGCAGAGTGACTGGGCGCACCCTTAGGGATAGGGTGAGGAGTTCAGTCACCCGGGAGGAGCTCAGAGTAGAGCCGCTGCTCCTCCGCATTAAGAGGAACCAGTTGAGGTGGCTTTGGATGCCTTTCGGATGCCTCCTCGACGCCTCCTGGGTGAGGTGTTCCGGGCATGTCCCACTGGGAGGAGGCCTCGGGGCAGACCCAGGACACGTTGGAGAGACTATGTCTCCCAGCTGGCCTGGGAATGCCTTGGGGTTGCCCCAGAGGAGCTGGATGAGGTGTGTGGGGAGAGGGAAGTCTGGGGGAATCTGCTCAGACAACTGCCCCCGCGACCCGGCTTCGGATAAGCGGAGGTAGATGAGATGAGATGAGACAAATTACATATAATGCCAATGGTTATCCACTTTTGAAAAATATTATTGAAATATTCTTGGTTGCCTGTATGATGGATCAGCAATCTCTGTTTAAATGCAGGCAGTATGACACTGTGGTCCTCTAGTTCCAGGAAATCTCTTTGGAAATGAAAATATACATAGAGAACCCTTTACCTAGATATCGTACTATAGAGACAAATACAAAAAATGCCCAAACCAATTTAAGGGCAATAATTTAATTGATATTCAACAAATACAAAATATATATAAGACAGATAAAAAAATGAAAAACCTTGGCTTAATGAATATTAGATCCCTTTCTACGAAAGTGCTTTTTGTAAATGATACGATCACGGATCATAACCTAGATATGCTCTGTTTGACAGAAACCTGTCTAAAACCAGGTGATTGCATTACTTGAAACGATTTTACCCCTCAAGATTACTGATATGAGCTGCGTCCAAATAGTAAAGGGGAAGGTGTTGCTACAATTTATGGCAATATTTTCCATATTTGTCAAAGGTCTGATTTCAAGTTCAATTCATTTGAAGTGATGGATATTATATTACACTAGATGATATTATATGACGCACCATGTAGATAATAAAAAAGATGCATTGGGATAAGCATTTATAGACATTCTAAACTCTTTTTAATAACTAAATTAAATAACTCTAAACTCTAGATTTAATTCTGCAGCAGAGCATTGATATCTCAGCTCATTCTCTAGTCTTGTGCTTAATCCATATAGCTAAAAACTCAACTCCTTGTTACAAATATGGTAGAACCATCACTTCTATGACAAAAGACTTTGTAAATAATATTCCTGATTTGTCTCCTCAGCATGAAACTATGAACTCTCTCTTTTCTAGCACTTTAGACGGTTGCTCCGTTACGCTTAAAAAAGATTAAGAAAACATTCCAACACATTGGTATAACAAGCACACTCATGTCCTAAAGAGAGCAGCCTGGAAAATGGTGAAAACAAGTAAACAAAACTAGAAGCATTTCATATTGCATGGAGGGAAAGTACTTCCTCCTACAGAAAAGCCTAAAAAACTGCTAGATCTGCTTACTTTTCATCTCTTTTAGAAGAAAACAAACACAACCCCAGGCATTTATTCAAAACAGTGGCTAAATTAACAAAAAATAAACCATCAGCAGGTGCAGACATTTCCCAACTGATGCTATCACTGTCAGATAATGATACTATTGCATCAGATAATCCTCTATAGATCCCCTGAGGAACAATTCCACTCATTCTCTAATATAGGAAAGGAAGAATTGTATAAACTTGTTAAATCATCAAAATCAACAACATGTATGTTAGACTCAATATTATCTAAGCTATTAGATAATATTGTGCTGCACACACTCTGTCCTGGTGCCGCATGTCGACACAACTCAGGAAATACGGCTCTTATTAAACTGCTGTCATTCTTAAAGAACCGGTACTGGTAAAAAGAGGAATCATACTGTTTTTAAAAGCAGGGTATTGCGATACCTTTTTAGTACCAGTATATCGTGCAACACTACTCTATACATCACTCTATACTGTTGTACAGCACCAGACAGCACTTCAAATTAAACTTCGTTTGGACTACTTTGGTACTGCTTGTTGTCACTTTTGAAATAAGTTATTGTGATTACACTTGCCTGTCTATCATGTTTTTTCTTTATATTGTGTATACTTTAAATAAATTGTTAGGTTTAGAGATAGAAGAGGGTTTAGCTGCCAAAAACTGCATAATGGAATATTGCAATTAAAATTAATTAACTTCTGCCAGTCATGTTTTTACACTGTAGTACATGTAACTATATAAATATATTTTTGATATAAAGCATTCACAAAGCAAGCACATTTGCACGTTTTTCATGTGTGAAATGGTGGTAAACATCTGAACAATCTCTTTCTTTTGCAAATAAACAAATAAATAAATGAATTAATTAATTAAAATCTAGATAAATGTTCAGAAGGATACTGCAGCTCCTCTACAGCCCTGTTGTCGATCGTCCCTCGACTGTTGTAGACCAGAGTGCTGCTCAGTAACACAGCCAGACAGAAGATGTTTGTGTCATGCTTCGAGTCCCCCTAAGATGCAGAACCACATTTGTGAAGTTAGAATAATAAACTGGAAATAGCCTTGAATTTGCATTCATATTCAACTCGATGAAAGGTACTCACACAGCTATAACATTTAGTGCTCCATTTAAGCAGGTCGAGATGTCCCGGCCTGGACTTTACAGCAAACTAGCAAGCTAGCACTAGACTGAATACATCTGTCCATTCTCAAAAGCCAACAACATGCTGAATGCACAACCAAAAAAAAAAAAGGCACTTGGAAAATAAATCTAGATAAATGTTCAGAAGGATACTGCAGCTCCTCTACAGCCCTGTTGTCGATCGTCCCTCGACTGTTGTAGACCAGAGTGCTGCTCAGTAACACAGCCAGACAGAAGATGTTTGTGTCATGCTTCGAGTCCCCCTAAGATGCAGAACCACATTTGTGAAGTTAGAATAATAAACTGGAAATAGCCTTGAATTTGCATTCATATTCAACTCGATGAAAGGTACTCACACAGCTATAACATTTAGTGCTCCATTTAAGCAGGTCGAGATGTCCCGGCCTGGACTTTACAGCAAACTAGCAAGCTAGCACTAGACTGAATACATCTGTCCATTCTCAAAAGCCAACAACATGCTGAATGCACAACCAAAAAAAAAAAAAGCACTTGGAAAATAAGTCTGGACACTCATTTGCATACTAAGCTGGTTGACAGCTGTTATTGCACAGTCACCATTTTAGATTGACTATCTGTAATACTATGTAATAGAGACGTAATGATATCAAAATCTCACGATACGATAATATCACGATATTAAGTCCACGATACAATGTTTATTGCGATATTTAAATATTAAACAAAAACAAAAAAAGACAAATGAAGACTTGGAAAAAAGTGCCATAAGTGTTTATTAAATAGTGACTGAATGTTAATAAATTAACCCCGTTATCTCGTCACTAAACACTCTCAGTTCCTTATCATTCATAAGATATGGGCCCATGGAAAGAGTCATGAACGTCTCCAAAGTTTATTATTACATCAGTAGATTATATAGATACATTGTAAGGGGTGGTGTAGTGGTTTATTCAACACTTCATCATATAGGAATGTCTAGCAAACAAAGGGTTGTCCTTCCTGCTACCTCTAGAGCCATAGAGGTTATATAAAATGGGAATATGGGCAGGAAGTTCTGACCGTATTAGGAGCACATTTATCCTCGAATCATAACTTGCTTAGAGATATGAGGTAACATCAGTCTCTATGCTACAACATAACTACCTCATAGATTAGGTATCAACTTTAAAGTGCAAAATAACAGTCAAGTCAGATTGAAACAGGAACTTCAAGTATAGTGTTTTCAGTTTTCATAACAAGGAAAAAAATTATCAGACCCAGTAATAAAAAATAAAATAAAGTTTCATTTTATTTTGTCAACTTTTAACAGCTAAAACAAAAATTAACTCTCAGACAATCGGGTTTTGAGGATTGTGAGTCACTCCCTCAATTGGTCTATTTTAAGGCCTCTTTTCTTTTGCCTCCAATCACATGCTGTTGCTTTGTTGTGCTAGGAAAGCAACAATTGTGAATGAAGGGTCAAGACAAGAGGGTGGGCTTTGAGATGGGTCAATTCTTGAAAAACAAAAACAACCCAGTAAAAATAAAAATAGCAGCCTACTTATTGCAGCTGGACCTAGAGCTGAATAAATTATCACTCACTAATTCACTCACTCACCTCGTTTACTCACTGACTCACTCACTCACTCTGAGGAATGATGAGGAAGATGAGCATATCAACATTCCACGGAGAATGGCTGTAGGTCTTTGGCTATATATGCTCTTTTGTTGATTTTGATTGCTTCTATTGTCCTCATTTGTAAGTCGCTTTGGATAAAAGCATCTGCTAAATGACTAAATGTAAATGCATATATTCACCGATGCATCTTGTGATTTTGTCTTGGGGGAGTGAGATTGTAAATGCTTTCTTTATAGTCTTTTGGCCCGGCTGGATTTTGTTCCTTGTATCTTTACGATACTTTTCGGGGTAATGATTTAGCTTGGCTCTTCATGTTTGTCGTATTCGCCGATTTGCATATCGAAACCGAAATGCCTCTACACTTCAGATTTAAAATTTGCTTTTGCGTCCACAATTTCCCAATCTCTCTCTTCTCCTTTGCTGATAGCAGCGTCCGCCAGTTTCTCTCTACTGGATCTGTAACGTTAGAGGCAGCAGAGCGCTGGCCGCTTGGTCGTTACGAAAGGAAATATCATCACTTTGCCATTACATACAAAACTGAACTACTTTCATAGCTGAAACAGTAGTATAAGCTGTTTTGGGAGACGGGCTCGGTCGGTAATTCTGATAAGCTGTCAGACAAGGGCCGGGCTAGGGCTTATATTTGAGGCCCGTGCAGGGCTCTACTGTGGGGTATTTTGAGCAAAAATTTCACATACACACTTTGGGGACATCAGTGACTAATTTTACATCTTGTAAAAAGGGGCATAATAGGTCACCTTTAAGGTTATCTCTGAGTGTTATTGGACCCTTGGGCACTAGTAATTTGGTAAATTTGTTACTTCACCTTGCTAGACCGTTAAACCCAACTCTCAATATTGCTGACTTTTTTGAGTCTATTCCCCTAGATTAATTATAAAACGGGAACGTAACAATTAGACAGTACAATAACTCCCCACACGAGCAGCCTTTCCTCTTTCTGTTTGTGTAAAATATTGCTTTAACAACACACTTTCACATCAAACTACACAAGCAGGCTGAGTAAGACACATAGAAATGCTGTAACACGCACACACTCTCACACACACACATACACTCACTCACAAATCTCAATGGCACACGGTCACACATGATCAACTGCAGGAGCAAAAACAAACATGAAGAATCTGCTGCTGTGCTGATGCTGAGTGTGAAACACTGGACATTGTATTGTGTGCAGATATAAGAGCAGCACAGGTGCTATAATGATCTGAATGAAGGAGCGTCTCTTACCGGTTTGCTTTAGTTCACTCCAGTCTAACTTCAGTCTGAGTTGTGTTTATAATGCAGCTTCCTGATATTCTACCCATATTTCTTAGACACACCTTCAGCCCCAGACTCTGGATGCTGATTGGTCTAGAGTGAGTTAGGGGATGTTCCTGGTCTTGTGACGTTTTCAGTTTCACTCTTAGTTTCACTTTCAAAATCAGCAACTGCAAACTGGAAAACACGTGATAGCAGATACAAGAAGCTTGGATTGTTTCCAGATATTGTTAGCCACATAAAAAGATAAGATGTTTTCCTTATTGTGGTACTATATCACACAGATTGGAATGACATCTTGTATATCTGAGGTATGAACAACAAAAGCTGACCAAGAAATAAGAAGAGTAAAGAAGATTGTCATTTTTAACCTGTAATAAACCTTGTTTCTGATGAAACTGAATGGAGCTTTAGTTCACTCCAGTCTAACTTCAGTCTGAGTTGTGTTTATAATGCAGCTTCCTGATATTCTACCCATATTTCTTAGACACACCTTCAGCCCCAGACTCTGGATGCTGATTGGTCTAGAGTGAGTTAGGGGATGTTCCTGGTCTTGTGACGTTTTCAGTTTCACTCTTAGTTTCACTTTCAAAATCAGCAACTGCAAACTGGAAAACACGTGATAGCAGATACAAGAAGCTTGGATTGTTTCCAGATATTGTTAGCCACATAAAAAGATAAGATGTTTTCCTTTTTGTGGTACTAAATGACACAGCTCAGATATACAAGATGTCATTCCAATCTATGAACAACAAAAGCTGACCACGAAATAAGAAGAGTAAGAAGATTGTCATTTTTAACCTGTAATAAACCTTGTTTCTGATGAAACTGAATGGAAATTCCCAAGAACTTTCCCCTCCAGTGTATCAGACACTATGAAAAGAAGTGGGAAATGTTAATGTGTACTCATGACTCCATCAGTACTGTATGACACTAACAACACAAGAGTCCAGGGAACTCTTTTACTCATTAACTGTGTACCATAGAATGTGTTAAATCAGTAGATTGGGGTAAAAGCGGCAGCTAATAAGTAAATGATCGTTATACTACTGGCTTGGGCTTCATTTTGATCGGTTGGTTAATACAGGTGCATCTCAATAAATTAGAATGTCGTGGAAAAGTTCATTTATTTCAGTAATTCAACTCAAATTGTGAAACTTGTGTATTAAATAAATTCTATGCACACAGACTGAAGTAGTTTAAGTCTTTGGTTCTTTTAATTGTGATGATTTTGGCTCACATTTAACAAAAACCCACCAATTCACTATCTCAACAAATTAGAATACTTCATAAGATCAATAAAAAAACATTTTTAATGAATTGTTGGCCTTCTGGAAAGTATGTTCATTTACTGTACATGTACTCAATACTTGGTAGGGGCTGCTTTTGCTTTAATTACTGCCTCAATTCGGCGTGGCATGGAGGTGATCAGTTTGTGGCACTGCTGAGGTGGTGTGGAAGCCCAGGTTTCTTTGACAGTGGCCTTCAGTTCCTCTGCATTTTTTGGTCTCTTGTTTCTCATTTTCCTCTTGACAAGGTGAGTTTGCTGGCCAGTCAAGCACAACAACACCATGGTCATTTAACCAACTTCTGGTGCTTTTGGCAGTGTGGGCAGGTACCAAATCCTGCTGGAAAATGAAATCAGCATCTTCAAAAAGCTGGACAGCAGAAGGAAGCATGAAGTGCTTCAAAATGTATTGGTAAACGGGTGCAGTGATGTTGGTTTTCAAAAAACACAATGGACCAACACCAGCAGAGGACATTGGACCCCAAATCATCACAGACTGTAGAAACTTAACACTGGACTTCAAGCAACTTGGGCTATGAGCTTCTCCACCCTTCCTCCAGACTCTAGGACCTTGGTTTCCAAACGAAATACAAAACTTGCTCTCATCTGAAAAGAGGACTTTGGACCACTGGGCAACAGTCCAGTTCTTCCTCTCCTTAGCCCAGGTAAGACGCTTCTGACGTTGTCTGTGGTTCAGGAGTGGCTTAAAAAGAGGAATACGACAACTGTAGCCAAATTACTTGACACGTCTGTGTGGGTGGCTCTTGATGC